CTTTGTGCGTATTGTCCCCAATAGCCACTACACTGGAATCTTTGGCATTTTTGCGCCAGCCATGTCGTGCATCAGTCATTATATTTATACTTTCGAGATCTTCATATGATGCCACTTCCTCCAGAGTTGCTGTGTAGATGGAGTCTTCATACTCCTTTTGAATGTGTTTTTTAGATTGATTAAAAAACTTTTGCCTATCCTGTTTTGATATTTTTCCAATACCTGCTCCATCGGCAAATCTAGTGTAGTGTGATGGAAGCATCCCGCTGCATAATAAAGAATGGTTGACACGGTTATTTACCAAATATTCATTATTGAGCAAATAAGGAGATGATGACCACAGAAACGTATGCCTACACCCCTCTTCCTCGCATTGAAATTTGGTTGACATTACATGTCCTCTTTGTTGCACTTTCTTCATTTTTAAATTCCTTGAACAATTTTGACCATGGTATTCTGCAATTTCCACCAGTCTCCTCAAAGATTCTTCAGCACACAAAAAGAGTTTTTGATTTACATCCTTTTTCTGAACTTTTATGTAAGGACTAGGAGCTGGAGATTTTTCTTGGGCAGACTGTGCAACATCACCTTGGGTGTCGTGTTCCTCATTTCTTTTCTCACTCCAAAGAGAAAAGAGATATTCAATGACTTGTAGATTTCCAACATGTTTGTTCAGTTTGCCCTCTAATTCACTCCTTAGTTTTTGCAAATTCTCCAAAACACTGGTTTTCTTACTTTCATCTCCCGATAATTCAATTCTGAAACTTGGTGTTCTCTTTCGTTTTTTCGGTGGACTACACATATTCCCTTTCATTCGCTATCTTTGTTTTGAGGTTTTTGGTTTTTACAAATAAATGTACAAGATACTAATTCTTGGAATATACTATTATTCTTTATAAAGGGGCGTTGGTTTACAAACATGCATAATTTTTTTCTTTAACTCAACAAATGATGCTGAATTGCATATATGAACACTTTATTAAAAGCCTGTATTTTTTTTTTTGAACATTTAAAAAAAAAAACAACTTTATTTTTAGATATCTACATCCAAGAAGCTATGTATATGCAATCTTGACACCCCTCACATAAAAATGGTCAGACTTGACACCTAATCCTATCTGTAGTTAGCACTTCCCTGCCAAAATCCTGATCTAGCATCTGACAATGACATAATCTGACCTTTCACTGTAGAGATGCAGAGGCACATTAGGGTTTCCTAATAAAGTTCTTTTTTAAAATTTATCTATCTTAAAACATTTTAATTAAAAAATAATGATAATGAAGAGTATATGTTAAACATTATAATACATTTGTGCAGCTCTATATGTGGTTTGTTTCTCTTTCTGCATGTAAGTATTAAATGTATCCCGTATGGTCCTTTTGAAATGGTTGGGCTTTCCAGTGTTACATGTGTAAATGTGTAGCCATCTTGGAATTTGCTGAGTACAACATGGAGGAAACAGAAGAGAAATCTATTTTAGCTATTGAAGTAACAGAAACTCAGAGAGAAACAATACGCCATCTATTTGCACACCATGAGTGGGAATTCAATGAGGTTCCAATTGAGGACAATGGAAACCAGGTCCAAGAGGAGCAGAACAATGATGATGTTGCTGATTTTGTTATTAATCAGAACGATGAAGAAGAGGAATGTATCCATTGTCTATGCCGTCCATGCATAACATCGGAAACCAACCGACAAATATGGTGGTTAGAGGATCCGGAGGCACCAAACAGAAGTAATTCTCAGAGGAGAAAGGACAAATACAAAAGATTCTGGACTATGTTGTTCCATAGAAATGTATTGAAGGATCCAAGATATATTCAGAGGAAAAGAAATGCCCTACAACAGGATCCGCGGAGAAAAAAATTACATTTATCACAGGAGGGACCTTATGCCAAAATGTGTTGTGACCGTTGTGAGACATTGGCTACCTAATCCCAATGATCAGCCATACATGGGACATATGTGGGAGTGATTAGGAACTCAAACCTGTGTTAAAATATTTCTTTTGACTTGTGAATGTTTCATTTTCATATAATTAAGTGACTGGAATATACTTAAATATATTAGTTGAGCTATCTTATCACTTGTTCACCTAAGGTTTGTATGAAAAAATATTAATACAGTAACTGTACATGTGTGTTTATTTTTCAAAACCTGTGTATTTGACAAAATAAAATGTTTTTCAGTCATTTTTTCTCTATAAATTATAAAAATTACTAGTGAAAACTATTTACAGTATAGTAATACCACGCACAGCATGTGCTGCAGCACATGGCTACAGCCACTTCCTGTGTAAACAAAACACTGGTTATCTCCGCCTACTTTGTCAATCACTGAGAAGAAATTCATAATTCAGTGCAGCTTCAGAACTTTATTCCTAAATTACTCAAGATATAATTTTTTTTTCAACTATGAAAGATGGACACTTTATTCACAATCAATGTGGCTGCTTCCATGCCAAAAATTAGAATTTAATATGATAAAAAAAAAGCATATTTTCTCAAAAATGCTTCTCAAATCTGAAAGCTGCATAGAAAGTTGAATTTCCCCAACATTTTTCGATTGGCTGCCTTTTATATCCGGGCCCCGGCCTTTAAGTCTCGCACAGTCCGAGATTTGAAAAATTGTAAACAATAGGACCCGCGAGATTTCGGAGAGTTGCGAATCTCTGGTTTTATATGTCTCTGCTTTACCATAGAAAATGTCTATTGAAACGATTGTTGCCCTCCCCTCTCTTTTTACCACAGTATACTTATAGCAAGGAAATACAGGAAAAAATTGGAAGTGAAAGGAAGTTGACCTTGAAAAAAGTTGAACCCCCCCCCCTACAAAATAGGAATTTCAAGTTTGGGCAATAAACATTTTCTTTTTTTTTTTTTTTTTGCTTGTCCAAGTGTTTTTTAGGTAAACAAAAAATATTTTTCTCAGGTTGGCCCCCCACTTTCAAAAACGATGCTACGTGCCGGTGGTGGATGACATTTATGTCATATGTGAGTCTGTATGCCGTGACCGATAAGCAAGCGTTAGACATATTCCCGTTTAACACCATAGAAATTGTGAAGCACTGGTTTTTAACGCTTGGAGACTAGTTTATGGTCAATTTCACTGTTTAAACAGGCATTCCTCCGGAGATTTAAATAAGACGAATGTGTCAAAGTTGTTTCATTTACAAAAAGTAAGGCGTCGTGGGTCTTGGAAGTATTTGAAGTTGTTTGTTTATGATGGTGGTTGTCAGTAAATCTATATATTTAGATCTTTAATAACTCACAGATACTTCAAATCTGTTAAATATTTGCATACATTCAATACAATAATTCAAAGACAATAGTGTTCCTAACAGTTCTCATTATTCTGTACAGAATGGCAGAGAGAAGGAATATGAAAGATTTTGTTTAAGAATACTTAGAAAGAAATGGAATTCAATACTTAACGTGTCGCCATTGATTTGATTATTTGTAATGCCCCCGCTTGACCATTCATAAGTGTACGATCCTATTCTGGTTATCATCATGGTTGTGACAAGAGCACCCAACATGGGGCCTGCTTAGGTAAAATGACTTTCCCTGAAACAAAGGCTACAGTAAGAACAGATTAATTGTTTTCTCGGGAGCAAACTGACGAAAATCATTCTTATGACCTTGAAAAAATTTGGAAAAAAAAAACTTCATTGGTGGAGTAAGCATGTGCATACCATTAATGAAGTCTATTTCTATTGGTTCGAAAGTTAGGCGAATGTAAAAGTTAATTGACAACAGACAGGTAGACAGGACAAAAACAATATACGCCCCAGATCGATCGAACTAGGCTTATAAATAGATAAAAACACCGCCAATGCTATTACAATCGTCTTTTTGATGGTGCACAACCCCCCACCACACCCACCCCAAAAAGAAAGGAAAAGGAAAATGGAGAAAATTTATCGTACATATCATTTGCTTCACACGATTTTTACTAATTTCCAATATAGTACTGGAGAGTTTAACGTTTTATTGTTTTCAATTACAAGCATCCTAGGTCTGGGAAGTATTTATGATATTCGAATACTCAAAGAACGATGCGACAATATCCTTCCTATCTATAACTTGATAAGCCGTTCTTAAACTATGTCGTACAATTGTAGCGTGAAACTTAATAATACATAATTACAAATAGCAGAGGCGGCTTATTCCCTCAGTTTACTTTCTGAGGACCTGGCAGGTTCAATATGTACAAATACAGGGTGTCCCAAAACATATAATGTTACACTTTTAAACCGTAATAAAAAATTATGCCTTAAGTTTCAATAATGAGATTTAAAATATATAATAAAATTGTTATCAATTTTTTGTGAAGCCGTTGTCACAGTTTCCTTATTAATCATTAATATTTTTTCTTTAGACAAACATATGTCATTTAACAACATGTTCCAAATGACGTCCCTTGAATTAACACTGTGATAACACAATTCCTGATGTTTTTATTTACCAAGCTTTAAATGTAACATATATTCTAACAGTTTAACATCAAGTCCCTTCACAAACATGTAAATTAGTATTCTGTTGAGGACGTTCATAACAGGATGTTGTTTTTTCGTGGTACTAATGACTAAAGTAGCAATTTTAGACCAATAGTGAAATTTTACAATTTCTACCAGCTATTCACATGAAGGTTCGATATCAAAATATGATGACGTCATTAGGACATCATTACTGTTGTGTCCATGTATTCCGGAACTGTATTATGTGTATGTTATTGGTTCTCACTGTTACATGTTCATTTAATTAAAAAGTAGTTCCTGCCATACACACGTGTATTCTTCCTTACTGATCAAGTGTGTTCCAATACACAACATTGGCGACGAGAAATGTGTTCAAGCCTACGCATAAATGTATGAGTTACTCGGATAAACTGTTTCGGTGAGTGTGACATTCTGATTCAGTCGAATTTGTGCAAGTAACTGTTTGGATTGTGTACCGAATTTGTTCTGTGTACCGATCCACGTGCTTTCACAGTCATGGCAGGGAAAATAGGCCGATTGGAACCATTTGATAGTGCAGTTGAATCATGGGATTCATATCACGAACGCCTTGAACAATATTTTATTTGTAATGAAGTTAAATCAGAGAAGAAAGTACCCGTTTTACTTACACTGATTGGTGGAAACACTTATTCACTGCTGCGAGGGCTCACAAGACCCAAGAAACCTTCAGAAGTATCGTATGGCGACCTAGTAGCGACATTACGAAAGCATCTGTGTCCAAAGCCTCTTGTCATAGCTGAACGTTTTCGCTTTCATAAGAGGGAGCAAGCAGAAGGTGAGACTATTCTTGATTATGTAGCAGCACTGAGGAAGTTATCTGAACATTGTTTATTTGATGAGGCTATTCTGGATGATATGTTACGCGGCAGACTTGTTTGTGGCTTACGCAATGAGCATATACAAAAGAAACTTTTATCTGAGGCTGAACTAACCTTTACGTCTGCTACGGATATAGCCGTTGCTATGGAGACAGCAGCCAGGGATGCTACAGAACTACAGTCTAAGCACAGTCCTAGTGCAAGTGTACATAAACTACATGCTAAAAAGAAGTCTCACGGATATGGTGGAACATCAGGGAAATATACGCCCAAGGGAGGAAAATCATGTTTCCGGTGCAATGGTGACCACAACCCACAAAGTTGTTATTACAGAGACAAGGAGTGTTTCAAGTGTCACAAGAAGGGTCACTCTAAACATGCGTGTCGCAGCCAGAAGAAAAATAAGATGAGTGTTCACATGATAAATCAAAATGACAGTTCAGATAGTGATATCTACATCAAGACTTTAGAGATGGATATTAACTCCATGAGAAGATCAGATGATGTGATAAGGATCACACCCATAGTAAACAGTGTTAGTCTGGAAATGGAATTGGATACAGGAGCTGCAGTATCTGTTATTCCTGAGAAAATATTCAAGGAGAAATTCCCAAACGTCAAGTTGAAACCCAGTGACATTCTGTTAAAGACTTACACAGGAGAAAGAATAAAACCCGCAGGTGTCGCAGAAGTCAGTGTGAGATACCAGGACCAGCGAAAGGACCTTAATCTGTATGTCGTGAAGAAAGCTGGAGTTACACTGTTTGGTCGAGATTGGCTGAAACAGATTACACTGAACTGGCCAGAAATAAAATCGCTTGCAACATGTAAAGCAGGGAAAAATCTCAAAACTGTGTTAAATAAACATTCGAGTGTATTCAAGGATGATTGGGGAACCTTAAAAGGAATCAAGGCCAAGTTGACAGTTAAACCTGATGCAAAACCCAAGTTCGTCAAAGCCAGACAGGTACCTTATGCACTTAAACCTAAAGTTGAGGTAGAACTAGAGAAGTTGGTGAAAGATGGTGTACTGGAGAAGTGCAACTTTAGTGAATGGGCTACGCCGATTGTACCAGTCAGCAAGAAGGATGGTTCAGTTCGTGTGTGCGGAGATTTCAAAGTGACTCTTAACCCAGTATTAGAAGTTGACCAGTACCCTCTTCCAAGAATTGAAGATATATTTGCTGCTCTGTCTGGAGGACAACAATTCTCAATAGTGGATTTAAAACATGCTTACCTACAGATGGAGGTAGAAGAAGATTCACGTCCCTTACTTACGATAAACACAGAGAAAGGCTTGTATCGTTACAATCGCCTAGTGTATGGTGTTGCGTCTGCGCCAGCGATTTGGCAGCGTTCGATGGATATGGTGCTTCAAGGACTTCCTGGAGTGAAGTGTATCATCGACGATATGATCATCACGGGCAAAGATGAAGCAGAGCATCTACGAAATTTAGACGCTGTGCTTGGCAGATTGGCAGAATATGGACTCAGAGTAAATTTGGACAAATGCCAATTTTTCAAGGATAAAGTATCTTTCTGTGGACATGAAATTGACCGTCATGGATTACAAAAGACACAGAAGAAGATAGAAGCTGTTGTAAATGCACCACAACCTACTAATGTGTCCGAGCTTCGTTCATTCTTGGGGATTGTGAACTACTATGCACGTTTCATTCCCAATTTATCTACAGTGCTTCATCCACTGTACAACTTACTGGAAAAGGACCACAAGTGGTGTTGGACAAGAGATAGTGAGGAGGCTTTCAAGACAATGGTGAAGAGAGACCAATTGCTTATGCGTCACGTTCACTCAGCACATCTGAGAAAAACTACTCACAGATAGAGAAGGAAGCTCTAGGAATTATCTGGGGAGTAAAACGTTTCAACACTTATGTTTATGGAAGAAGTTTCCGTCTCATTACAGACCACGAACCACTTATCTCTATATTTGGTCCAAAGAAGGGAATCGCAAACACAACAGCAGCTAGGCTGCAGAGGTACGCATTGTTCCTGGCTGGCTACAACTATGATATAATCTACAGAAATACGAAGAAACATGGAAATGCTGACAGTTTGTCCCGCTTACCTGTCACATATGAGAGTAGCCGATTGGTGGACAAAGAAGAGGAAGCGGAAGTGGAGATGTTGCACGTCAGTCAACTGGAACATCTATCTATCAAACCTGAAGCAATCCAACGTGAAACTAGGCGTGATTACCTCTTATTGAAAGTTTACGATAATGTGTCCAGAGGTTGGTGTGCAAATTCAGAATCGAAGGAAATGGATCCATACTTTACGCGTCGTAGTGAACTTACTATTCACCAGAACTGTCTATTATGGGGAATCCGTGTTGTGATTCCGCCGTCACTGCGAAGTCAAGTTTTGGATGAGCTACATCAAGGTCACATTGGTGTTGTTAAAATGAAAACCTTAGCAAGAAGTCATGCTTGGTGGCCAGGGATAGATCGGGATATAGAACTTTTGACAAAGAGCTGTGCTGGATGTCAGGCAGTAAAGCATGCACCACCAGCCGCACCTATTCACCCCTGGGAATGGCCGTCTAGACCTTGGGAAAGGATCCATATCGATTTTGCGGGTCCGTTTCTCAATTCAATGTTCTTAGTCATTGTTGACGCTTACTCTAAGTGGCCAGAGGTGATACCAATGAAAACTACCACATCTTCCCAGACCATAGATGTATTACGTACCGTTTTTGCACGTAATGGCTTACCATCACAAATTGTAAGTGACAATGGACCTCAGTTCACATCAGAAGAGTTTGCAAATTTTACCAGAGGAAACGGTATAAAACACTTAACCTCAGCACCCTATCACCCCAGTACTAACGGTTTAGCAGAAAGATTTGTGCAGTCATTCAAGATGAGTCTCAAGTCGAGTAAAAAGGAAAATGGTAGCATGGTGAAGAAACTCAGCAATTTTCTTATGGCTTACCGTAACGCTCCACAGTGCACAACAAATGAAAGTCCAGCAAAACTATTCATGGGCAGAAACTTACCATCTCGTTTAGATCTCATGAAACCAGATGTCAGGAGGAAAGTAGAGGAGAAACAGTGTGAAGTGCGCGAAAGAAGAAAAAGTGTGTTGCGTAAATTCGAACCAGGAGATTCTGTTGCTGTTCGTGACTACCGAAAGGATCATTCTCAGTGGACTTCCGGAACTGTGACAGCTCAGACTGGACCTGTATCATATTCTGTAGAAGTAACACCAGGAGTCACATGGAGACGACACGCTGATCAGTTGCGTTCTTCGAATGCACCAATTCTGGAGGACTTATATATTCAACCTAGTAACACAGCTGTGAGTCAACAACCAGTAAAGTCAAACATCGCGAAACAGAGCTCGCCCGTGTCCAATACAGAACCACGCCCTTCGCATCCATCCAATGATGACCGTGCCATGCCATCTACTCAAGCCGTCCCTGAACCAAGATATCCAAGTCGTGTCAGAAAACCGCCCAAACATCTTGCAGATTATGTTTGAAGTGAAATGTGATACTAGTGCTTACTGAGGCATAATAATCCTCATGATATCACAGGGAATTAAAAGTTTCTCATTTGTACATATGTTGTACATATGTTGCTATTAATGCTTTGTTCGTAAATGTATAGTTTACATTTGTATGTAATATGTTTCCGTGAATTACATTATGTATCAGCAAGGCACAGAAATTAATGTAAAGGGGTAAATCTTACTTCGAAACTTAAGAGGGAGGAATGTTGTGTCCATGTATTCCGGAACTGTATTATGTGTATGTTATTGGTTCTCACTGTTACATGTTCATTCAATTAAAAAGTAGTTCCTGCCATACACACGTGTATTCTTCCTTACTGATCAAGTGTGTTCCAATACACAACAATTACTACCTGACTCTTGAACAGAAAGTTCTTGAAATTTTGTCAGTTAAAATGTAGACTAATACATTAGAGGTTGACAAAATATCGTTTTGAATGCTTTTTTGATAAAGTTATAGGTGATTGAAAGTGTAACATGTGTTTTGGGACACCCTGTACATGATTAAGCAATATATACAGATAAATGTTAGACTTCCTTCTTTTAATCAATTATGTACAAAAAAAAAATCAGTGTGATGCTGGCTCATAAGCGATCGGCTCTTGCAACTCGGTTCTTGTGGCTCCTACAGTCTCTTTTCTTTGATACTGGTGTTTAAAGCAGTGTACTAGAGTTTGATGCTCTGTTACCTTCACACATAAAGCTGTAATGGCCATCCATTTGCTGCCCCGCCTAGAATTGTCTCGCCGGATTGTCTCCTGTAAACGCTCTTATATGCACTTTTGGGGATGTCAAAGTTTTCAATAGATTGTAAGTAATGAAGTCTGGTGTCTGTGTAGTCAAGTTGTACCTTGTCACAACTTCCTGGAATATTGAGTTCGTGACTAGATTAATGATACATTTCATAAAACAATATCAAAATTAGTTCTTTATATAACTCATAAAACATTACAAAACGCATTTAGTACAAAATCTTTCAAAATAAGTGATTTAAAGTGCACAGCATGAAGAGTACGACAAAGAAAATATGAAAAAGCATTTTAGAATGCAACTGCAGAAGCACATAGAGACATAAAGTCAATTAAAATGACTCTTGAGCTAGAAAGTAGGAGACCATGACATTTCACCATAGTCAAAATTCTGAGTAACAAAATTTTTGTTTTTGGAGATGACCAGCTGAAACAGCAGAAAGATCTACAGTTAATTCCAAAGGTCATCCACATTAAAGACAAGTGTAGGATTTTAAATGAGGTTGATGAGCTTCACATGCTCGAAGAAAGCATTCCAAGCAAAATCAATATTAAAGAGGAGAGAATAAATTCAACGCTTGAGCAGTACACTCATCGTCACTCAAGGTATGGAGATCGTTTAAGATAATCAACATTAAAGTTAAACGTTTTTCTTTTAATTATAATTTACTTTTATTCTTGTTAAAAGAGCTAAAATGATGCAGAATTGGTAATGAAATTCACATATTTATTATGTTCCCCAAACGAAGTTGGGGAACATATTGTTTTTACTCTGTTTCTTATTATTATTATTATTATTATTATTATTCCTGGGAAAATTTTGTCCTTGAGTGATCTTGTAAACTACACATCCGACTAAGGTAAAATGTTTTTAAATCCAAAGCGAATAATTTATCAAGTCATAAATAAGTCATTGAGTTTAAAGGCACATCAACTCGAAGTACGAGAGAATTTTACAAAATTTCGGCGGACAAGAAACGATTTCTTAAATTGTTCAAATGTTCTAGGACTTCATTGATGATATTCGTCGCATTTTCGGAAAAGTCAATTTCTTCTTGTATTAATCCTTTACTAAAACTTATTCCAGTCTCTCTTTCATAAAATTGATGTCCATCTGCATAGGTATGTTGGTATCGTTTTAATTTTAAGTTTATACACATCAATTCCACTGTCTTGGTGGGGTTAAAGTCGTCATCTGGTCCTTTGGCTTCTTCTTCCCGCTCAAGGTCATCTGAACTTTCAGGGTCTTAAAGGTCAGACACATCTTCTTCCTCATAGTTACGATTCACTTCATGGTTCTGGGGCTCGTCTTCCTCTGGATTTATAAGAGTTTCCATTGTTTCCTCTAATGATGTTAATGATAAGTTGCTCACAGGAGAATAATAATTTGTAAAAAATTCTCCAAAGTTCTCTTCTTCTTCATCTGAAATGTCGGAGTACATGTCGTTCTTGATGGTCACAAACACTGGCTCAGGCTCATCATAATAACTATGGTCCTTTTTCATGTGCTGTGTTAAAGCATATTTTCTTCCGAACACTTTGCCGCACGTCGTCAGAGGGCACTGATGATCGTAATGTCCATTTGAACGACACTCTCTGTTATGTCTGTATAAATTCCGTCTGTGTTTAAATTCTCTGTTACAAAGTGAACAATAGTTCTTGGAATAATCCATAATAATACATGTACTAAGTTGAATGTTCTCCAAGGAAGTAAATTTCAGTTTAGGTTGTTTTCTTTCCTGTGTTTAATATATAGACCTAGGCTGAGGGAGGATATGGAAATAACGAACAGAGTTCAATCTCAACGTCCATTAAACAATATACAAAATAAGAGCAGAGCCAACACGGACCTCCGAAACATCAGAGGTGGAATCAGGTGCCATGGAGGAGTGAGCATCCCCTGCCGACCGGTCACATCCGCCGTGTTCTCGTTGTCATAATCAGGAAAAAACGGAAAAAATTTGTCGTCAATTCAGTGTATAAATAATGGACTAACAATTGGTATGAAAAACGTCAGTCAGCATTTCATTCAATGATAAATTGTATTTGCTGACAAGGTCATTGTATCGACCATAGAATTTACGAAATGATGACTTTAAACGAGATTGTTGATGTTCTTGTTTCATAAACTTGCTTGTCAATAATTCACCCCGTTTAAGAAATTGTTCATACGTACAGCATGCTCTTGCGCATCGAATCAACTGAGATATATAAACTCCGTATGCAGGTAATGAAGGTATACTGCTGCATAAGTAAGGGAAGCTGACGATAGAAAAGTTAAAGTCAACACGTTTATCATATAGCTTGGTTGTTAGATTACCATTAATGTCTTTTTCAAGTAAAATATCCAAGTATGAAGCAGAAGTGTCGGACTCGGTTGTATCTTTTATCTCAAGCTCACCAGGATATATCGTGTCGACGTAGGAATGGAAATTATCATTATTAATTGACAATACGTTGTCGATATATCTACATGTCGAGTTGAAGATCACAGCAATTGTTTTCTTCTTTTCACGCATACGATTTTGCATAAATTCTGCTTCATATGAATATAAAAATAAGTTTGCTAATAACGGAGCACAGTTTGTACCTATGGTAATTCCAATAGATTGTTGGAATACCTGGTCTCAAAAAACCACATAGATATTGTCAATCAGAAACTCAAGCATCTTCTTGATGTCAGAGTACATGCCAAATTCCAAACTTTATGTGTTTTTGGAGCACCGCACAATGAAACTTGGAGCCATCTATTTGGTTTTGGAGCACTGGCCATCTTAATGTACATTACACAAGTCACGGTTCCTTTCAAATTTATCTGAATCACCATTATCTCCATCTTCTGAACTAACAATATTCACATTTTCACATTAAAATCACAATCCTAGTAATTCGCACACTTATTCACTGTGTCACCAATTTATTTTCTTCTTTGTCTGTATGCAGCACCTCGACCTTTATAATTTCTTTCAAATTCCTCGATTAAATTTCCTGGAACTAGAGAAGAATCCACCCATGTACTTTCCTTTTCATCATTTTCATATTTCACAAAATTTTTAGCTTCTGCTCTCCCTTTATCATTCCTGGACCATAACTTATCACAAACTTAAAACTATTTCAGGTTCTAACACTGCTCTTCGTGCAATTTCGAAATCTGAATTTTCATTCCTTCTGATGATATAATATGTCCCGAGAAATTCCACTTCACTTTTGAAAAACGAACACTTTCTTTTCTTCAATCTTAAATTTGCTCCCCTTAATCTCCTGAATACTTCCTCCAATCTGTCAATATGCTCTTCAAATGTATTTGAGAAAACTATGGTATCATCAATATATGCCAACGCCATTTTCCACTGTATTCCCGATAAAACCAAATCCATTAACCTCTGAAATTTACTAGGAAAATTGCACAATCCAAACGGAAGACAATCAAACTCATGTAATACTTCCGACGTTACAAATGCAGTTTTCTCTTTATCCTCTTCACATACAGGTACATTACAATAATCTGTTAATACATCCATGACAGAAAAATACTTCGCTTTCTGAAACACTTTTAACATCTTATCTATTCTAGGCAAAGGGCACACATCCTTCCTAGTGACTGCATTCACTCTTCTATAATCTATGCAAAACCTATAACTTCCATCGGACTTCCTCACCAACACTACAAGTGATCCCCATGGACTACTTGAGGGTCTTATAACTTCTTTTTCTAGCATACTCTTAATCTGTTTCCTTACTTCTTTCTGTGCAAATGGTATTGGATAAGGTCGCTGTTTTATAGGGTGAGCATCTCCCGTGTCAATTTGATGACAATTTGCAGCTCTCAACTTCGGCTTTTTCCGTGTTGCCGATATAAGCGATGATTAATTACTTGTGACGTAGCAGTGACAATTCTGATGTTGGATCGGCAGGCCAGTCAACAGTAAAATTGTTAGACGATGTAATAAACATTTTCTTTTTTTGGACCTTTTATTAGTAATAAATATATAGAAAACTATTTATAAGAGTATATTATACCCTTATAAATAGTTTTCAGGGATGTCAACGAATAGTCGACTATCAGTCGAATGGACCGGCGATCGAATAATGAGACATTATTTGGTAAAAGAGATTGATTGATTGATTTCATATTGTTTAACGCCAAGTCGGCAATATTTCAGCCATATTTTGGCGGGCAAGTATTAACCGGTTTTTGAAAGCTTTTGGTTTCTCTGGCGG